AAATGAGCAGAAATCCCATCATCATGGGCACATCAGTGGAGGTCATTTTTTAAAAAATATATAAACGAGTGGTCAGCTTTACACCAGCGATGAGAAGCGGGCTCGTGAATGTGCGAATACCTACAACTATATCTCTCTGATAGAAACCGCGTCATTTACACCCATCCCAGAGGAGCTTTAAAAAGGGCGAGTGTGGGGGGTGGAGTGGGGGGTAGAGTGGGGGGGGGGGGAGGTCTCCATCAGAACAGGAATCCACACGCTCGCTCTCTATATATATGAGACACGCAGCGTTCCGCTGAAATAGACCGCGGCTTGATCTTCACGTAGTCCCCCCTCCCCCTCGTGCGAGTGTGTCCGAGTCTTGTGTCCGCGTCAGCCCGCAGCAGCAGTCACTCACCCGCCTTGCACTCACTCACTCACTCACGCGACCCTCTCTCACACCCCATTCACCGATGGAAGCCAAGGCGGTGTCTGCGATGCTTCTCCTAACTCTGGCCAACTGTGTCCTCGTGTCTGCTGCGAGAGGTTCCTTCTCGTCCATGGAGGAGGCGGCGGTGCCAGACAGTGACAGCTCCCTTGCCAAGGACTACCTGGCGGAGGTGAGTGGTGACAGGCACACCTGTCTGTCTGCCTGTCTGTCTGTCTGCCTGCCTGTCTGCCTGCCTGCCTGCCTGCCTGTCTGTCTGTCTGCTTGTCTGTCTGTCTGTCTGCCTGTCTGCCTGTCTGCCTGTCTGCCTGTCTGTCTGCCTGTCTGTCTGTCTGTCTGTCTGCCTGCCTCCTGCCTGTCTGTCTGTATGTCTGCTTGTCTGTCTGCCTGTCTGCCTGCCTATCTGTCTGTCTGCCTGTCTGTCTGTCTGTCTGCCTGTCTGTCTGCCTGCGTGTTGTTATACATTTAAGTGGAGAGCGGTTGGAGCGCTGCGCTACAGAACCTGGCGACCCGAGTTCGATTCCCGCTCACGGCCAACGCCGGTGACGATTATCTGAAACGGTCCTGGGCCTCCCCTATGTCGACTCAGCCTCAAATGAGTAGCTGGTGCGGTGGGTAAACATCGCCACTAGGGAGACAAAGGCGGCCGGGCGTGGTATTGGCCAACCCACCCCCTCATGTGCCGTTCCTGCTTTCATAGGTGCTCGCTAACAGCACATGCCCCAAAAGTGATTTGGGCTATACGGGGGATCTTTGTCGTTGTTATTAGTTTATAGTTGTCAGAGGTAAAGGTGCGGCCCTGAAACTGCGAGCACGCAATTGCAGACGCGTGTTGCACGAAGCAGGCATAGCCATAAACTTTACTCAGCCACAACACTTGCCTCCAAAGTGTGTCAAGGCTATACGGGAGACCTTTGTATTTATATGGCACTTTGCGCGACCTCACAATACATTAATTGGTGATGAGCTCTTTGATAATGACTGGTTGCACTTAGAACTCAGTGCTCACTGCTCAGGCTGAGTTGGAGTCAGGATTATGGGCGTAAGGCACTACCACTAGATTGAGTACAAGGTAAGCTTATCTAAAATTACCCGATATTATTGTGCCCCATCAGCTTTACAAGTCGTAAATACATCGAGGTGGACGTGGAGTGCCACAAATAATAATGCCCGGAACAGCGTTCTGGAATGTTCCGGCTGAAAAGTACTCACCGCTTACATTACAAAGACAAAGGCCCCCCGTAGAGCCTCCACTGACTATGAAGGCCGGCACAGCCCACGAGGGGGTGGGTGGCCAGCACAACGCCCGGCCGCCTTTGTCTCCCCAGTAGCGATGTTTACACACCAGACCAGGTACACATTTGAGGCTGAGTCGACCAAGGGGAGGCCTAACACACACACCGACACGGGGCACACACGCGGACACAACGTGTGTACTTGCACGCTGCTTTGCGTGGTGACAAAGCCCCACGAGTGCTTAAGCATAAAATAAGTATAACCCGTAAAAACAAAGTTTTTCACTCTAAATCCTTTATATGCGTGGCGGCTAGAGTCCTCTCGTCCTCTGGCTTGAGATGGCTGCCACCTATGGGTCAGATGATTGTCTGCCAGTATTAAGCAATTGGTAATTAAATATTTAATTTGTTTTCCCTAAACAGTGTAAAATTTTAGAAAAAAAATTTCACGAACATTAATGTCTCGCACAACGAGTCTCTGTGGAAAATGTCAGCTCGATTGGATCACGGGAAGTGGGTTAAAAAACGACCGAAAGATTTGCACGGTCGTAAGCAAGCATGCAAGCACGCAAGCACGCAAGCGAACTTAATATAAAGGATTTAATAATCGGCCGGCGGACAACAGGGCACAGGCGAGCTTCCGTGTGTACTTTGAGCTTCTTTCGCACCGTACGTAGCCAACCCTGCTCATCGGAGCTTTCGTATCCACGCGTCGCGTTTCGATATCGAGGCAATTCACAGAGTACGAACTTTTTTAAGCGATGCAATACGAAGACGATGGTGACCCCAATTGGTTGAAGTGAATTCGAATGATGTTCAAGAAAGGCTCGAGGAGCAGCCGAAATATTTCCCGAAGTACATGCGTGTACTAAATAGTAAGTGGGGGGGGGGGGGTCTCTGCTCAGGACTAGAATGAGTTTTATTTTCAGTTTTCGTAAGTATCTGGTGAGAATTTCACAAGAATGACAGATCACGTGACAGATCACGCGTATAAAGAGCTCGACGTAACGCGGCCCTTCGACTTGAGCGAACCAACGAGGAAGCTGGAATGTCATCAGACGTTTACAATGTTGGGGGTCGCTATAGCGGAGGTCGCCGATTTGGTTTCACTCTAGATTTGAAGCTTTCGTGACTGCAAGGAATCATACTCTTAGGGTTTTTCGGTAAAGTCACGTAGGTAAAAAATAAAATTTAAATTAATAAAAGTAATAAGAGAAATAAAATAAAATAATAAATCACGATTTGGTTTCACTCACGGACCGGGGGGGCAGCCTCAAACTGGAGCTGCCCCAGCGCTGCTCACGCGGGGGGATACGAGATCCGTCAGCATCAGCATCATCAGCAGCAGCAGTTTACTCTTTAAACTATTTGTTATTAAATCCTTTATATTAAGTTCACTTGCTTGCGCGCTTACGACCGTGCAAATATTTCGGTCGTTTTTTAACCCACTTCCCGTGATCCAATCGAGCTGACATTTTGCACACAGACTCGTTGTGCGTGACAATTAATGTTCGTGAAAATTTTTGTTCCAAAATTTTCCACTTTTTAGGATAAAAAAAATTTCATATTTAATTTAAAATACCAATGTAAAAAAATGAAACTCTTACTCAAGAAAAACAGAAATGAATAATAAAATAAAACCGATGCCACGCATATAAAGGATTTATAGTGAAAAACTTTGTTTTTACGGGTTAATTTTTTTTACCAGGTAAGGTCCCACTGAGCTCTACAGCTCGTTTTTTTTAGAAGCGACCTGGCCACAAGTGGCTTATTATCACGTGGACATTTATAGCGGCCAAATTACTCTAAACGCGTGATGTCGATTCTAAATGTGGAGGTGAAAAGCGGAGGACCCGGAGAAAAATCCCACACGGCCACGAGAAGAGAGAGAAAGAGAGAGACATGCAAACTCCAAATATACATGCGTTCGGGTAGGGATCGAACCCACGACCTCCTGCATACCAGGCAAGGTAGTTAACATCTCGCCACCGTGTGGTAGTGGAACAATTAATACAACTATGTTCAATGGCAACAGTCACCGTGTCATGGGACACGCACGCGTTATTATAATAATAACAACAGCAACAATTTTGGAAGCCCTTTGTCAAGAGAAACTTTGATAAATATCGTTGCACCGCGAACACAATGTCAGAATCACAGTATTTATTCCTGGAGAAATCCGATGAGCCTTGAAGCTCTTTCCCCCACAGATGTCCAGTAAAGACGGTCGCGACTTGAATGCACCACTATTATGTATGATAGTATTACTATTATGTATTAGGCGCACTTCTGTATTATATATAACCACGTGAATTGACGACTTCGTTTAACTTGCACATTACATTAGCCACCTTCGTTCACAATAAACACATTACACTTTTAAACACACGTGATTTTTTTTTCTAAAATCGACATAACATGGAGATGCGATAGCAACGTTCCAAGTAGTGCTGTGCATCTCGCAATGTGTACAGGGATCTCGCTCCTGTCAAACAGCGATTATAAACAACAATCCACTGCTGGATAAAGGTCCGGTTACACACGGAAGAACAGACATGCCAATATATCAATAGGAACATGAGGAGGTAGACACAAGAACACATCGGCATGATGATAATGGGTTTGTGTACGAACCCGGCGACCCGAGTTCCAGTACCGCTTTGCGTGTGCTGTGTGTGCACGTGCTATGTATCGCACGTGCGTGTATGTGCTATGTACCACTGTGTGTGCATCATCACCACCTCTACTTTGTGTACACGTGTGCATCATCACCACCTCTACTTTGTATAAACGTGTGCATCATCATCATCACCACTATACTACCACCGCCGCCTCGTGCACATACGTGTATGTGCTATGTACTCTCACCACTGTGTGTGCATCATGACCACCACCGATTTGTGTACACGTGTGCATCATCACCACCTCTACTTTGTGTACACATAATCATCATCACCACTATACTACCACCGCCGCTTCGTGCACACACGTGTGCATTACCACCTCTACATTGTGTACACGTGTGCATCACCATCATCGTCACCACTATACTACCACCGCCGCTTCGTGCACACACGTGTGTGTGTGTGTGCACGTGCTATGTATCGCATGTGCATTTATGTGCTATGTACTTTCACCACTGTGTGTGCATCACCACCACCACTTTGTGTACACGTATGCATCACCATCATCATCGTCACCACTATATTACCACCGCCGCCTCGTGCACACACACACACGCGTGTTTGTGTGCACACACACACACATGTCTGTGTGCACACACACACGTGTTTGTGTGTATGTGTGTGTGTGTGCAGAGTGTCCACGAGGACCCTTACCGGGATAGTTTCGACCGCGCTTCTCCGGACGTCGCGGTTCCCTCCTCGTCCGAACAGCTGCTGCTCGGCCGCCTGGCCCGCGCCTTCGTGCACTTCCCCCAGCGGTTCGGACGCGATGGACCATCGTCCCTCTTCCAGCCACAACGGTGAGCGCCGTGGACTCAGCTTCACCTCCACCTCCCCCCCCCCATCACCCAACTCACCGCCAGCGGTCAACTGCGTTCGGCGCACCGTGCGAATGCAGAGACGCCCGCGCCCGCCGCTGCGAAAACCCCTGGGTTGTTATGCCAGCCCAGAGCTGGTGCGTCCCATCAAAATAAACAAAGATCCATATTAAATTTCGATTTAAAGCTTTCGTGACTGCAGGGATTCATCTTCTTGGTTCTTTCGGTAAAGTCACGTAGAAGGGAAATAATAAAATAATAAAAATAAAACATAATAAAATAATTCTCACGACGTTCTTCACCTGAGGAAGGATGCTTGCGTTGTGGCCGAAACGTCGTGAGAATTATTTTATTATGTTTTATTTTTATTATTTTATTATTTCCCTTCTACGTGACTTTACCGAAAGAACCAAGAAGATGAAAGATCCATATTCTTGGTTCTCGACGTTTCGACTGCAACACAAGCAATCATCACCATCAGGTGTGACATCCACAGAAAAAAAAATTTGAAAAAGTGGCGGTTTGTCCTAATGTCAGTACCATAGACAGCGATTTGGCAGTTGGCCTGAACAGACCATGGGGGGGGGGCAAGTGCCGTTAGCGAGTAGCCACCTATGAAGAACGAGACGGCACACGCGGGGGGGGGGGGGGGGTGCCAGCATCACGCCCGGCCGCACCAGGTTACTCATTTGAGGCTGAGTCGACCTGGAAAAGGCCCAGGATCATTGACCACTGTCATTGATCGTGAGCGGGCTTCGAACTCGGGTGACCGGGTTTCGTAGCGCAGCCTGCGCCACCGCGCTTCAGGTGTGACAGCACCACGTGCTCGCACACCAGGCGTTCAATTCCGGTTCTGCGAAGAAGCCAGTCAATTTCGAACACCTGCGGTCGAGATCACAGCTCCATGCACACACAAAGATCCCCCATATAGCCTTAACAGACTGTAGGGGCAAGTGCTGTTAGCGAGCACCTATGAAGGCCGGCACGGCACACGAGGGGGCGGGTGGCCAGCACCACGCCCGACCGCCTTTGTCTCCCTAGTGACGATGTCTACACACCGCACCAGGTACTCATTTGAGGCTGAGTCGACCTAGGGGAGGCCCGGGACCGGTTCAGATAATCGTCACTGGTGTTGGCCGTGAGCGGGAATCGAACTCGGGTCGCCGGGTTCGTAGCGCAGCGCGCTAATCGCTACACTACCGCTCCCCACACCACCATGAACACCTGAGTTCAATCCCAGATTGACCGCTGGCTTCAGACAGCGTCTGATAGCAGTTGATGGTGCTGTACGTGTATTGAACGCAGCACCACTGTGTGTGTTGAAGTTGTAAGAGTACGACCATATAGTCTAGTGAAACAGACTCTCTGACTTCTAAAGAAGCGCGGTTATTTTCATTCAAAAAGCTTTGGGAAATAAATGAAACGTCTTTGTCTTTAATATTAAGTGTTCTAAGTCAACAAAGAGGCGATATTGGAATGCAAATTCAACGTAATAACCTAAACTACTCTTAAACAAAAACAAATATTTTACCAGGTAAGGCCCACTGAGCTATCAAGCCTTTTTCAGAAGCGACCTGGCCACACCCTCCACGCTCTGAAAACCCGAATTGTTGTTTTAATTCCTTTCACCAACTCAATTCCACGTTCAAGTCCAACCTCGTCCCACCGTTCACGCTCGAGTGCCCAGCGTTGAAGTTGTCCATTTGTCTACGAGGTTCAAAGCGACCGGCCGCCCTGGTTAATGCTGCGGTTGCACATTCACAGAAATTAAAGGCATAAAGAACACATTCACTTCACAATGCGCGTAAAAGAAAACAGGTAACCGTGGCGTCATTGGCAAGAGCAGGCCACTGTGTGCCCACAGTTGTGAAAAGGCCACCCGAACACAGAATCCGATTAGGCCCGGACAGGCGTGAACCCCTAGCGGAACCCTTACCCATAATATAGGCTTTTTTGGGTTAGATCGCTTAAATATATAAATGTGTCGTTAAACCCGCCACCACCCGACACAGCCAACTAGTAAGTGTTGTCACGTAAACAAAACACGCCAATTCGTCACTAACGACACATTATATATTTACGCGATCTAACCCGAAAAAACCTGATAATTGGTTTTTTACCCTTTAATCTGGCAACAAAACTGACACCTTTTTTTACAAGGAGTCATGTTTGCATTGACCACAATACCTGCGGTCGGAATGCAAACAAAAAAAACATAACTTTGATAATGTATGCATTGTCCTTGAAATTGATTGGTCCACACCCGAGACAACTTTCTTAGATTCTAGATTTGAAGCTTTCGTGACTGCAAGGATTCATATTCTTAGGTTTTTTCGGTAAAGTCACGTAGGTAATTTTTTTAATTAAAATTAATAAAAGTAAAATAAAAAAAAATCTTTTTTACCTACGTGACATTACCGAAAAAAATTAAGAATATAATTTTCTTAGAGCCTAGTCTCACATGGTGTTGGACCAGATGACGCCAAAAAAGGTGTCAGTTTTGTTGCCAGATAAAAGGGTAAAAAAACCAATGATCATATTTTGCTACTGACAAACGAGGTTCGAATGGGACCAAAAAAAACCTCTTATGGATGATATTGGTCGCGAAAACCTACGTGTTAAAATGGCACCCTGACCTTTTACACTTGAACAGACTCAAATGTGTAACCAATTCGATAAGGACTCTATTCCTCGCCGGGCCCCCCGTGTTTGCGCTCCGTGCAGATTTGGCCGTGGATCGAACGCCGACGAGGACGTTCCGCCCAACCTCTTCTACCGGCGTAGCTGGGGAGCGCCGGCGGAGAAGTTCTGGATGCGCGCCATGCCCCAGCGCTTCGGCCGCAAGAAGTGACCGCAGCGACGCGGACGACACCACCCCTCATCGCCACGAGGGCACCAAACCAGCAGCGCCAGCACTCACCAACACTACCCACTATTCTCTCAAGAGCCCACACCCACCACGCTCTCAAGATCCCACACCCACCACGATCTCAAGATCCCACACCCACCACGATCTGAAGACCCCACGCCCACTACTCAATCAACACTCCACACCCACCACTCTCTCAATACCCCCACGCCCACCACGCTCTCATCACCCCACACCCTCCACTCTCTCATCACCCCACACCCACCACTCTCTCAACACCCCACACCCACCACGCTATCAACACCCCACACCCACCACTCTCTCAACACCCCACACCCACCACTCTCTCAACACCCCACATCCTCCACGCTCTCAACACCCCACACCCACCACGCTCTCAACACTCCACACCCTCCACTCTCTGAACACTCCAAACCCACCACTCTCTCAACACCCCACACCCACCACTCTCTCAACACCCCACACCCACCACTCTCTCAACACCCCACACCCACCACTCTCTCAACACCCCACACCCACCACTCTCTCAACACCCTACACCCACCACTCTCTCAACACCCCACACCCACCACTCTCTCAACACCCCACACCCACTACTCTCTCAACACCCCACACCCACCACTCTCTCAACACCCCACACCCACCACTCTCTCATCACCACACACCCTCCACTCTCTCAACACCCCACACCCACCACTCTCTCAACACTCCACACCCTCCACTCTCTCAACACTCCACACCCTCCACTCTCTCAACACCCCACACCCACCACTCTCTCAACACCCCACACCCACCACTCTCTCATCACCCCACACCCACCACTCTCTCAACACCCCACACCCACCACTCTCTCAACACCCCACACCCACCGCTCTCTCAACACCCCACACCCACCACTCTCTCATCACCCCACACCCACCACTCTCTCAACACCCCACACCCACCACTCGCTCAACACCCCACACCCACCACTCTCTCAACACCCCACACCCACCACTCTCTCAACATCCCACACCTACCACGCTCTCAACACCCCACACCCACCACTCTCTCACACCCCACACCCTCCACTCTCTCAACACCCCACACCCACCACTCTCTCAACACCCCACACCCTCCACTCTCTCATCACCCCACACCCACCACTCTCTCAACACCCCACACCCACCACTCTCTCAACACCCCACACCCACCAGTCTCTCAACACCCCCACACCCTCCACTCTCTCAACACCCCACACCCACCACTCTCTCAACACCCACACCCACCACTCTCTCAACACCCCACACCCACCAGTCTCTCAACACCCCACACCCTCCACTCTCTCAACACCCCACACCCACCACTCTCTCAACACCCCACACCCACCACTTTCTCAACACCCCACACCCACCGCTCTCTCAACACCCCACACCCACCACTCTCTCATCACCCCACACCCACCACTCTCTCAACACCCCACACCCACCACTCTCTCAACACCCCACACCCACCACTCTCTCAACACCCCACACCCACCACTCTCTCAACATCCCACACCTACCACGCTCTCAACACCCCACACCCACCACGCTCTCAACACCCCACACCCACCACTCTCTCAACACCCCACACCCTCCACTCTCTCAACACCCCACACCCACCACTCTCTCAACACCCCACACCCACCACTCTCTCAACACCCCACACCCTCCACTCTCTCAACACCCCACACCCACCACTCTCTCAACACCCCACACCCAGTACTCTCTCATCACCCCACACCCACCACTCTCTCATCACCCCACACCCACCACTCTCTCAACACCCCACACCCACCACGCACTCAACACCCCACACCCACCACTCTCTCAACACTCCACACCCACCACTCTCTCAACACTCCACACCCACCACTCTCTCAACACCCCACACCCACCACTCTCTCAACACCCCACACCCACCACTCTCTCAACACTCCACACCCACCACTCTCTCAACACCCCACACCCACCACTCTCTCAACACTCCACACCCACCACCCACCAGTCTCTCAACACCCACACCCACCACTCTCTACACTCCACACCCACCACGCTCTCAACACCCCACACCCACCACGCTCTCAACACCCCACACCCACCACTCTCTCACACACACCCACCACTCTCTCACACCCACACCCACCACTCTCTCAACACCCCACACCACCACTCTCTCAACACCCCACACCCACCACTCTCTCAACACCCCACACCCAGTACTCTCTCAACACCCCACACCCACCACTCTCTCATCACCCCACACCCACCACTCTCTCAACACCCACCCCACCACTCTCTCAACACCCCACACCACTACTCTCTCAACACCCCACACCCACCACTCTCTCATCACCCCACACTACTCTCTCAACACCCCACACCACCACT